TCCAGGATGCTGAATCATGCAGCTGCAGATTTGGGTTATTCTATCCAAATCCCAACTTCAGCTTCTAGGACTACTGTGTATGTGGTATGTCTAGGCTTTTTTTTGCTTGTTATTTATTTCACTTTGAGTCCTGTATTTTGGACATTGCCTGGCTCAGCAGTCTCACTATGCCTAATTGGAATCTTGACCCTACTGCAAATTTGGATTAATGATAAAAGCAGCTAGGTGGACAGATCCTATCATTAGCAGGACTGCTGAATCATATTGCCTAATTGACCTCTGGAAAGCTTTGTAGTCTCCCCACACAAGCTTGTTGTCAGAGGCCCATTTATCTTCTAGCTTCTTGAAGCTCAGTACTCATTAATTCAGCTTTGTGATCAATGTCAGTCAGTCAGTTTTCATATGTGCTATACATATGTGGTATTAGATCATCTTTACTTTCTTGATCTCAAATATTCCAACATCTGGAAAATGTTAAAGCCTGCTGAGCTGTATTTATCTGCCAAAACTATGCTCCAAAGATGCACCATATGGCCAAGAGTTTTTTGAGAAATGAAAGTAAGGAGACTTACAGAAGAGATTCACTGCTTATGCCTCTAAACAATGATGCATAACTCAAAGTGGAGGTGGCTGGTTGTAGTTCAGTTATTTTTCTCTTGAGTGGTTATGAAACACACAGGCAATACTGTATTTCCAAATGTATTTAGTTTCAAATGGCAGCTACTTAATGGCCACTAGACACTTCCCCACCTGCAGTTCCTTCTGCATTTGCCAGCTAATTTGTGTAACTCTAATTATATTCCTTTAGGAAAAAAGCCAAAAATCACTATAGTGTTGGTGTTTAAAATCACAGCAGTGCCTAGACTTACCAGTAGTGCAACCGCCTGCTCATTATTTACAAAATAAAACAAGAAAACTAAAAAAAAATTAAAGCGTGTTCTCATATTAACTTGCGAGGTTTTTTGTGGTTCTGTGTTTGGGCTTTTTTTTAAATTTAGATATAAAAATCTTATAGTAGGAAACTATAAATTTGGTTTTTGGCTGCAGTGATTTATTTTTTTTTATTTTTTTTTTACACTGGTATAATTTCAATCCCTAAAAATATATTTTTGAATAATATATTTTTAAATAATATATTTTATGATCATATATGTGTCAAGTGTCTCACTTTCTAAGTAGCTGAGGGAAAAATGGTAGGGAATAGAGATGTGATGTTTATTCTTTAAAAGAAAAAGATCAAGTGTAGCATATTAAAATGTCAAAGCTAGAATTTTGATATTTCATAAATAAAATATTACTTAAATTTTAATTTAAATTATGGGATGCTTCAAATATTTGAATGGAGGAGTCGGAAATGTAATACTTTGTATTTGAATACGAATTTGCAACATGCTAGGTGATGCCATCTTTTTTTCTCTAGGTCATACTCCTTAGTACTTATGGGTGACTTCAGTCATCCTCATATTTGCTGGAAAGCCCACACAGCAAAGCATGTTCAGTCCAAAAGGCTCTTGCAGTGTATCAATTATAACTTTCTAATGCAGGTAGTGGAGGAACCAACGAGGAGAGGTGCACTGTTGGACCTTGTATTAACAAATAAAGGAGTTCTGGTTGGGGACATTAAGGTTGGGAATAGCCTTGGTGACAGTGACCATGACATGGTGGAGTTCAGTATTTTACAAGGAAGAAGCAGTCCAACCCTGGACTTCTGTAGGGCTAACTTTGTACTCTTCAAAGATCTACTTGCAGGAATCCCAAGACTCTGGAAGGAAAGGGAGCCCAGGAAAGCTGGTCATTTTTTAAATACCACTTCCTCCAAGCCCAAGATAGGTGCATTCCTTTGAGTAACAAATCAGGTAGAGGTGGTAAACGTCCTGCATGGATAAGCAAGGATCTTCTGAAGAAAGTCTCGTGCAATAAAGAAATTTACAGTTCGTGGAAGAAGGGACTTGTCACTTGGGAGAACTATAGGAATGTTGTTAGAGTATGTAGGAAGGCAACAAGAAAGGCCAAAGCCCTCTTAGAACTTAAACTGGCAAAGGAAGTAAAGGAGAATAAACAGCTTCTTCAAATATATCAGTAGTAAAAGGAAGACTAGGGAAAATGTGGGCTGAATGAGCCCACTGCTGAATGAGGTGGGAGCCCTGATAACAGAAGATGCAGAGAAGGCAGAGTTGTTGAATACCTTCTTTGCTTCAGTCTTTACTAAGACCAGCCCTTATGAACTTCAGACCCTGGATATATGGGAGGAAGCCTGGAGGAGGGAAGACTCTCCACTAGTCAATGAAGAGTGGGTCAGAGATCAGTTATGCAAATTAAATATGCACAAGTCCATGGGCCCTGATGGGATCCAGCTAAGAGTGTTGAGAGAGCTGGCTGATGTTATTGCTCTACCACTCCATCATTTTTGAAAGATCGTGGCAAACAGGAGAGGTGCCTGAGGACTGGAGGAAGTCCAGTGTCACTCCAATCTTCAAAAAGGGTGTCATGACCCAAGCAGGGCAACCCAGGGAGATTCAGATCAGACCCTCTTGCTTTCTAAACTCCTTCTCAGAAAGGAGCCTAGGTGCAGCTGGATCCAACCTTTGTCTCAGACCTGGCCCTTCCAGGGAGAGTGATTAAAATGTCACGGTCTGAGGAAATGCTCGACTGTCCAATACCCCTTGATCAGATTAAGGTGAAATGACACTCACAGTCTGTATTTGAATATTAGGTTTACTCAAAGCTATAGAAGGAATACGGATACTTCAGTTATTATCTTAGGCTGACAATTAGATCACAAGAGTACAATACATATATGTTTAAGCTGCACAACCTGAGAAAAAATCATGGTTAGGCCTTGCATTACTTAATGATGTTAGGAAGGAAGAGAGAGAGAAGAAAAGTTTAGAGAGATAGATAATAGAAAATCACCAGTCCTGGATCCAGCATTAGGCCAGCCAACGGGGGAGAGCTGGTATTAGTGAGGCTCCCCAAGCCCACCATTGCAGCCCCCTGTTTTATAGGCAAGTGTGTTTGAGTCATAAGCCTGAGCAGCTGGAGTGGACCTCCGCCCCCTCTGCCCCTCCATTCCATTCGCTGTACCTGCAGGCTTGCAGGCCCATATGCAGACCATCAGTGCAATCTCCATCCTCTCAGGCAGGCCTTTTGGGATGCAAACAAGATTTTGTTTAGGGGTTACAATGGGGTTTCCACACTAATTCCAGCAAGTATAGGTCCTGAGGGCTGGTCCCTCACAAAGGGCAAGAAGGAACATCCAGGAAAATATAGACTGGTCAGCCTCTCTTCCATTCCTGGAAAAATGATGGAACTGCTCATTTTGGAGATAATCTCTAAGCACATGGAAGAGAAGAAGATTATCAGGAATAGTCAGCATGGATTTGCCAAGGGGAAATCATACTTGACTAATCTGATAGCCTTCTATGATGTTGTGACTGAATGGAGAGATGCAGGGAGACCAGTGGATGTAGTCTACCTTGACCTTAGCAAGGCTTTTGACACAGTCTCCCATAACATCCTCATGAGCAAGCTCAGGAAATGTGGGATAGAAGAAGGGACAGTGAGATGGATTAAGAACTGGCTGCACAATAGAGCCCAAAGATTGGTGGTCAATGGTGCAGAGTCCAGCTGGAGACCTGTAACTAGTGGAGTCCCTCAGGGATCAGTGCTGGGTCCAGTCCTGTTCAACATCTTTATCAATGACTTTGATGATGGGACAGACAGTCTTCTCAGCAAGTTGCTGATGACATGAAGCTGGGAGGATTGGCTGATTCACCTGAAGGCTGTGCAGCCATTCAGTGAGACTTGGACAGTCTGGAGAGCTGGAAAAAGAAGAACCTAATGAGTCCTGCACCTGGGAAGGAACAGCAAAATGCACCAGTACAGGCTAGGAGGTGATCTGCTAGAAAGCAGCTTCATGGAGAAGGACTTTGGAATCCTGGTAGACAACAAGTTATCCATGGGACAGCAATGTGCCCTTGTGGCCAAGAAGGCCAGTGGTATCTTGAGGTGCATTAGGAGGAGTGTGTCCAGCAGATCAAGGGAGGTTCTCCTCCCCCTCAGCCCTGGTGAGACCTCACCTGGAATATTGCGTCCAGTTCTGGGCTCCCCAGTTCAAGAGGGACTTGAGAGAGTCCAATGGAAGGCTACGAGGATGATTAAGGGACTGGAAAACCTGCCTTATGAGGAAAAGCTAAGAGACCTGGGGCTTTTCAGTCTAGAGAGGAGAAGACTGAGGGGGAATCTAATTAATGTCTATAAATACATGAGGGCTGGACATCAAGAAGGCAGGGACAACCTCTTTTCACTTGTGCCCTGTGATAGGACACGAGGGGCAATAGATTCAAACTTGAGCACAGGAAGTTCCACCTCAACATGAAGAAGAACTTCTTTACTGTGATGGTTACAGAGCACTGGAACAGGCTCCCCAGAGAGGTTGTGGAGCCTCCTTCTCTAGAGACTTTCAAGACCTGTCTAGATGCCTTTCTGAGTGATCTGCCCTAGTTTTTTTGGTCCTGCTCTGGCAGGGGAGTTGGACTCAATCTTCGGAGGTTCCTTCCAGTCCCTAACATTCTGTGATTCTCAGGGGGACAAATACAATGGTTTTGCAATAGGGCAAACTTATCTCCTGAGTGTTTCACTCTTTTCAGTTTTGTAAATCAGTGTATTGCTATTTTAAAGTCAAGTCCAGGATGTCAATAACTTCTCGTAATGTGGATACTAGAATGTTGGAACCAGGAGTCCTAAAGCAGGGGCCTTAAAGGCTTGTTATCTTTTGGAAAGGTAGATTTTCTCTTGTTTCTGACTGATCCCTGTCAAAAGTGCTTCTTCTGAGCACTCAGCACTTTGCGAAGTATAGCTGTGTGGCTTGAAAGGAAGACAGGTTTATTATGGAATTTACAAGTAGACAAATGACATTAATGCAAATGGAGAAATAATAAATTAAAACTTCCAGTGCTCATATATCAAGCTAGATGTGTTTTGCATTTTGAATTTTAGGAATCCGATCATGGGACACAAATTTGATTGAACGCATCTTGGATCAAGAACTGAAACTTTTTGTGTCTCGCCATTCAGCTCGATTCTCTCCTGAAATTCGAGGTGAGTTTTTTTAAGTGTTTGGCAAAGCTTTGTTTTGTATGGGGTTTTTTTTAAGAGCAGAATTAATAAATATACTCAGCTATCGGATGGCCCACTTTCATTTGTGATTCTTTACAATTAATACTTTTTTCTTTCTTTTAAAATATGGCTTGAAAATTATAATTTGTTAGAATTTCCTCACAAGAGGAAATGTTTGAAACTTTAAAATAATCAGTTTTTTAGTTTAGCTTCATGTATCTCACCATGATTACTTTGACAGTAGATGTTAGTTTTAGGGCCTCATTAAAGTTAAGTGAAACTCACTTTTTGACTGAACAACTTGTTCATGTAGCACCAATCTAGTAGTCCTGGAGACTGAAGCTGTTCCTCACTGTGGTAGGTAGAGCACATACAGAAAATAACCTGAAAGGTTAGCTCTACAGTTTAATAGAGATAGAAATGATGTCATGACTTGTACAAGTGTGGCTCAAGCCCCATGTTTGTCCCCAAAGGGCTTGGACTTTTCTCTTTCTTGGTATGAAAAAGCTGAGGGATGGAGTGTCTACCTTGACTCGCAGGAACTTTCATTGGCTTGTATGAAGAAATAAGAATTTTACAGGACTCATGACACTAAATCTTCTACTGCTTTTTCTTCAAGCCTGTCTTTCCTTTAGAGGATTCATAAATTAAAACCCCAACAATTTAATTAAGTGTAAAATTTGATTTAGTGCATGGGATTCAAGTGTTTGGTACGTTTTCTAACATCTCATTACTATAACACAAATGCTGAGTATATGTGAAATTAATTTGGTTTTTGTTTAAAAAGGTATAGCCTTCTCCAAGGAGTATAGGTTGCTTTAATTGGTTAAATTATTGTGGCTTTGTGCATATTGACTAGTACAACCTAATATTGATGAATGTTATAAATTCTGGCTTCAGGAACATCTCTTAAATATGGTGAGAAGAGCTATGAAATGTTGTATCATACTCTATTACATCACATTCCTAGGGTCATTTGCTATACACTGTTGACAGAAATCCTGACATCTTGCTAGCATGACAGCATTGACCCAAAGTCTCTCTCCCTCATTCTCTCTCTC